TTGGGGTTTGGGGGTTTGGGGGTTTGGGGGTTGGGGGCTAACGATGGGGGGCCATAATTCCGATGAAGGTATGCCTTAGGGACGAAATGAACCCTGAAAGGGTTTATGGTTCATATACCTTAATAGGAATTATAGTAGTCAGGGTATATGACCCCCAATTTTAGGGCTCATTTCGTCCCCAAGGTGTGTGAACCATGACCCCAAGCTTGTGGGTTTAAATAGTCTAAGATAAGTGTTTCGCATTGGCCAGCGCGTGCTTAACGAAGCCCAGCTGATGAGCCGTGCTCGCGGCGAACTTTCGCTTCAACCGCGTTTTATGCCTGTGGCTGGCGACGAACCGTCACAGAAACGAACAACAAAACCAAGACCGTGTAGGCACACCAACGTCGCCTGTCACTCCCCCCGGCCCCAACTAAACAAGACGGGGGAGGGGGCCGATTGTTCGAAATCACTAATAGGAATTATAGTAGTATAGGGCATATGACCCCAATTTTAGGCTTCATTTCGTCCCCAAGGAAACGGAACCCCAATAACCTTGGACCCTCAACACTGTCTACCCTGGCCTTCCGGAGGCTGAGGTTTTGCGCGCGATTCAGCGGAAGCTGACCGACTTTGAGCAAGATCTCCAGCCCAGCGACTTCGATTGGATTTAGGGTTTCAGGTTTAGGATTTAGGGATTAGGGTTTAGGGGTTTAGGGTTTAGGGTTCAGGGTTCCGAAGAGGTTTAAGTGCTCCTGTGGTTTTCTTCGAAGCTTTTGAGTATTGAAAGTGCGCGGGGTTTCAATGGCTTTGGCGCGTGCGGTGTTTGTTGGTCCAAGTGTGGATGTTGCAGAGCCCGCTTGGAGAGAGAGAGAGAGAGAGAAAGAGAGAGAGAGAGAGAGAGAGAGAGAAAAAAAAAGAGAGAGAGAGAGAGAGCAACAAAGAGAGAGAGAGAGAGAGAGAGCGAGAGAAGGCAGGCTCCAGGGCTTATGGGCCTTAGGCTTTCTCCCTTTAGGTTTGAGGGCGACATTCCCCCATCACCCCCCCCCAAACGCCTAGGAAAGACCTCTACACTTTCCGAAGCCCTAAACCCTAAACCCTAAAAGGAATTGGGCGGGACCGTTTCCGCAGATCCCTAAACCCTAAAGCACGCAGGCGAGGGCTTGGCGGTGACGACGGCAACTCAGATCAAGCCATCTGAGCCCTGAAGCCTAACGACCTATGTTAGGGCACAGAGGGTTTCAATTACCCAGGTCAGGGCACAGAGGGTTTACATAATTACCTGGGTTCGGGCACAGAGGGTTTACACAATTACCTGGGTTAGGGCACAGAGGGTTTATGCTGACACTAATTGCTTAAGAACCCCCCCCCCAAAAAAAAAAAAACAACAAATCCTTAGAAGGGTAGTATCGGGACTACTATTCTTTTATTCTTTTGGGGTTCTTAAGCAAATAGTTTTGAAGCCTAATAACCTGGGTTAGGGCACAGAGGGTTTATATAGAGGGCTTAGTTAGGGTCCCTGACACCCTATACCTGAATCCTGAAATCTCAGCCCTGAGCCCCCAACTCTACAAACCCTAGACCCCCCCCTAGTTTGGGGCCTAGGGCCTTCAGGGTTTCGCCTCAACCTCAGTCTACACCCTGTGAAGCCGTCTGCAACATCGCCCCGCGCCCCTTTCCCACGCAAGCTTTCACATGATTCCTGGGCACAACATGGCGGAACAACTACATGGATCCCACGCGTCCCAAGATTTTTCAAGTTTAGGGGAGAAAGTTCTTCCCAAACTTCGAACCTAAACTGTTCCAGCTGGCCACAGTGGAAGAACAGACCTACAACCCACAGCTTCACCTAGCGCATCCTGCACCCCTTGAACTAAGTTATCCGAACCTCTATACAGCCCAGACTCCTAAACCCTCAACCCCAGACCCGCAAAAAAAGCCCTAAACCTCTTTGCCCTAGTTTGAGCTTGCCCGCAGCGCTAGACGCTTCTGCTGCAGAGGCCAAACGAACGAAACCCTAAACCCCAAAGTCCAAACCCTAAGCCCTTAGCCCTAAACCCTAAACCCTAAACCCTAAACCCACCTCTAAGTCCCAGGAGGCACCTCCTGGGAGGGCTGTGTTGGACCTCTCCGGAGAGCTCCCCGCAGGGGCCTCAAAGAAAGCTTGCCCAGGAAGGTCCAAGGGTTTAGGGTTTAGGGTTTAGGGTTTAGGGTTTAGGGTTTAGGGTTAGGGGTTTAGGCGTTTAAGAGTTCAGGGTTTATAGGGTTGATAGGGTTTATAGGGGCTTAGGGTCAGGGTTAAGGTTTGTCGGGTTTATGGGTGTAGGGGTGTAAGGGTTTAGGGGTTTAGGGTTGGTTTCGCGGGGGGAGGGGGTGGGGGCAACTGTCTTCAGTGACTAGGGGTGGGATACGTAGACCTAAACCCTAAACCCTAAACCCTAAACCCTAAACCCTAAACCCTAAACCCTAAACCCTAAACCCTAAACCCTAAACGTCAGCATTCTCCGTGCTTCGGACGAGGGGGGGTGTAGGAGGAACAGCAGAGTTCAGGGCGCAGCCACGACCCTGTGGAAGCGACAAACCCCCAATTTCATTGTGGTCATATCGTTGCGGGAGGGCTTAGGGTTTAGGGTTTAGGGTTTAGGGATCGAATATTCAGTTATGTCCGTTTTCGGGGCGTCCCTCTACGTAATCAACACAGCCAACCCCTCGCACCGCCCGTATGGACAGATACAGAACGTGGACTTGGCTTCGTTGACCGTGGCCTAGCATTTAAGGGTTACAAGGGAGGGACCCCAGAAGCGACCCTTAATCTTATTCCCCTATTTCCGCCCCCAATGAAAACCTTATGCAGTCTCTTTCTACGTAAGTAGCCCACTAAATAACCCAAATAGCCCCTTAGGCCCCTTATGAGGCTCACTTTTTTAGTCCCTTGTGAAGCATGGTTCTGGATTGAGGCCGGCATCGAGGGCAAGCTGCCACGGAGGCCTGAGGGGCACTGAGCCTGACATCATTGTGGGTTTAGGGTTTAGGGTTTTCCCGTATGGGGGTAGGGACGCCCCAATACAGACCCCAAATAGTAGGATCCCCTGAGGAGAAGGACCCCAATAAGGTACCCCTAATTTCGGAAACCCCCGTTTCTTCCGATCCATTCCGATGTTCGTTGCATGCGGGATCCTGAGGAGGCTGTGCAGGGTTTGGGGGTTAGAGGGGTGGCAGACTACCCATGGGTCATTGTTGATACCTCAGGCATGAGATCCATGCAGAGCATGCGGGGAAGCTGAAAAGGCTCTTCGCGAAGGACAGGCTCGAACTCGTGTGTGGGATAGTCTTCGTTGCGTTTGGTGAGTGTGGGGCTGTTTGGCCGGCTTTCTTTCTGTTTGAATGTGTTTTGTTTTTGCCTGCTTGTCTTTATTTCTCTACTGTTCTTCCTTGGTAAAAGTGTCGGTTGTCTTGCCTACTTTTTTTTTAACCACTTTCGAGCGTTCAGAGGCGTTTTAAGGGGTTTTTGATTATAGAACCTTGAGAACTTTTGAAGCTTTGAAAACTTTAGATTAGAAGCTTTAGAACCTCCAGAAATGTCTGAGCTCTCATCAGACCCTAAACCTTAAAGTCTAAGCCCGCATCCCTAATCCCTAAACCCTAAACCCTATAAACCTTAAAGCCTCAGCCCTAATAAATCATCCTGGAAGGGAACGGAGTTGGCCCCCGGGGTCGAAATAACTACGTACTACTAGTATCCCCCATCCCCCTATATAACTATACTATCATCCCCCCCCCCCCCCCCCCCCCCCCCCCCCAAACCCCATGCTCATCATTAGGGCCCCCAAAAGTATTTTGCTACCTGTACACCCTACCTTGATATGGTCCCTTACCTTCTTTAAAGGGTTCTGATGTAGGGTGGAAAAGGGGTCCCTGGAAAGGGACCATGTAAACTATCCTCAGATTAAAATTTGCAGGGCGCACAGTGGGAACGGCAGAAGGTAACTCCCTTTCCCTCTATAATATGAACCCTCTACCCCCCTACCCCCCTATGAAAACCCTCAACCCTAAACCCATTAGTGTGGGGGGGGGGGGGGGGTGGGGAGGCATACTTAATCCTAGGGAGGTTAGGGGGAGGTTGAATAGGATTTTACGCGCGACCTTTAGAACTTCAGAACTTCTAGAACTTTTCTCCAGCCTTGGGATATCCTAGACTGCTATGACTATAATTCCGATTAAGACATGTGATCCATAAACCCTGGTAGGGCTTAAGAATTGGTCCCTCAGGAGTTTTAAGAACTCAGAACATGTAAGCCGAGTAGATCTGAGAATTCAACAAGTTCGGAATGTCCTTAAAGTGTTTTCAGCTCAAAATTTTGGGTCTTTCAGAACTTCTAGAACTTTTTGCAACTTTGAGAAGTGGTAGAATTTTGAACTTTTGGAGCTTTAGAGCTGTTAGAAGTTTTCGAGAACTTTTGAGACTTCAAGATTTTTTGAATCTTGTAGCCGCCCGTGTGCCAGACATGCGACGAAGACATTCCCACGCGGCCCCGCCCAAAGTAGGTATTTGCAGACGTTGCGTAAAGCCTAAACCCTAAACCCTGAACCCTAAACCTTAAACCCTAAACCCTAAACCCTAAACCCTAAACCCTAAACCCTGAACCCTAAACCCTAAACCCTAAACCCTAAACCCTAAACCCTAAACCCTAAACCCTTACCCTAGACCCTAAGCCCTAAACTCCAAGCAATTGCCTTGCGTGGCCGCTGCTTTCCCGAGACCCCGACGCCGAAGTCGGCTCCAGCACACCAGTTGCTTTTATTGGCCCCCCAAGTGGGGGTTTACGATATTCGGGGTACCGGGTTTAGGGGTTTAGGGTTTAGGGTTTAGGGTTTAGGGTTTAGGGTTTAGGGTTTTTCGATATTAGGGGTACCTTGCTGGGGTCCAAAATATAGGGGGATCCTACTATTTCGGGGTCTGTGTTAGGTGTCCCTTTTCGTAAACCCCCAAGTATCTTTCGTGGACATCGCGACGTCGTGCCATGACTCTCGGTGCTATCAATGCAGCTCCCACATTGTGGTGTGCTGACAGTCATAGCAGCAACTTACTGACAGCCAGGTTGTTTCTCAAGCAACGGTGGCGAGCGGCTAGAGAAGAGCCCCTACCAATGAAGTTGCAGCCTTTGTGCATTCGACCCCCTCCTGGTCTTGAGCCGCCGTGCTCCTGGCCAACCGACAACGCAGACATGCCCGCATGGCTGCAGGTTGTCCAGGATGGCACCTTTGCTTATGAAGCTCAGGTGAACCCTGTCCGGACAAGTCATGAGCTGACGCAGGACGCCCCATTGAAGGCCAGCGCGAAGATGAAGAAGCCAAAATCTCCACCGCCGCAGCCTCTGCCTCCAGGCCCTTGTGTCGGGCAAGCAACTTGCTAGCCCAGTGCTACCCTTTACCCTTTTTTTCTCTGGGTTCCCTTATAAAGTAGCCAACCCAAAAAAAATGGTGCCCTTGTTATAATATGGTTACTGGGCTACTAAGGCAAAAGCCAAGACCGGTGCACGTGAAGCTGGCAGGGCGACTTGCAAGTTCTATCTCGACGGGTACACCAGTGCCTTGGGGTTACGAAAGGGGCCCCGTAAGATTGGGGGTTCATGTACCCTGACTACTAGAGAATTCCTAGTAAGGTGTATGCACCTAAACCCTAAACCCTTAACCCTTATAAACCCTAAACCCTAAACCCTAAACCCTTTTAGGGGTTCACTTAGTCCCCAAGGTGATGAGCACAAGGACTTCGACCTGGTACCCCGCATCATCGGCCACGCTGGCCGCAACATGCGCGCCATCGCCAGCAAGGCCAGGGTTTAGGGTTTAGGGTTTAGGGTTTAGGGTTTAGGGTTGAGGGTTTAGGGTTTAGGGTTTAGGGTTTAGAGTTTAGGGTTTCGGGTTTCGGGTTTCGGGTTTAGGGTTTAGGGTTTAGGGTTTGGGGTTTGGGGTTTAGGGGCCTGCCACCAAGGCCTGCAAGGTCCGAATCCGTGGACGAGGCAGTGGCCAGCTTGAAAAGACTCAGAATCTTAGTAGCTGAAGTAGTACACTTTACACTTTTTGGGATACTACAATTGTAATTCCCTATAGAACTGAAAGTGTAGACCTTTTTTTGGGCTTATGAACTCAGTAACGAAGGAATGGCGTTGCCAGGGAGGCAGATTTGCCCCTGCACATTGCCCTGAGCTGCAGTGACGCGGTAGAACTGGAGATTGCGAAGGAGAAGCTGGACACACTCTTGCAAGGCTTGGTGGGACTTTACTACAACTTTTATCACTTTTTAAGGTTAGGGTTCCTCTAATTTCATATTTAAGGGAGCCCTAAACCCTAAACCCTAAACCCTAAACCCTAAACCCTAAACCCTAAACCCTAAAGGTAAACCTTAATTAGGGGGTTAAAGAGCAACCAAGAAGGCATCTCCGTGCACTTCTACCGGTTCTGTCGCAAGATGGGCCTTGAGGAGCCGGCACGACTGTACAGATTGGCTTAGTTTCCCCTAAACCCTAAACCCTAAACCCTAAACCCTAAACCCTAATGTGTGTTGCCAGACATACTTTGAAGGTTCATGGTACTCATTAAGGTCCAATTATATCTGTACTTCTAGCTGTACTTATAACCATGTTGGGGCCCTTATAAGGGGCTTATAAGTGGCTTATAAGTACGGTTATGATTGGTTAATAAGTACCATGAACCTCCAAGCCCGCCAGCAGATCAACCTGAGGGCTTCGACGTCTGAGATCGTGATCTTCTTACCTTGGGGACGAACCGAAGCCTAAAATTGGGGTCATATGCCCTATACTACTATGATTCCTATCAAGGTGTTTGAACCATAAACCTTTTCAGGGTTGATTTCGTCCCCAAGGTTAAAGCCCAAGCTTTCAGCAACTGCCTACCGCGAGTTGATCTGTGAGGCTCCTTCAAGCTTTGAGCGCCGTCAGTAGGCAAGCTGCTTGTGTGGGCAGATAATTTTCAGCTTGTCTGCGACGCGCGTGTGTTCCCGCTGCGAAATGCGAAGTACATGTTTGTCAAGTCGTCCAAGCTCGGGGGCTGTAGTCGGAGGCGTAGTGCCGACTTGGGCCTAGCTCTCAACTCCCTTCCTGCCATGTTAGCATGTCAGAACTCTGCTTCACCAAGTGTAGATGTGGTGCGAAGCCCAAAGGCCTCCTTTCTTTGGATTCCCTAAGCAAGCAAAGTCAACCAGTTCCGCTTGCTGGGCGCTGCGTTTGTTTCTGTGGGCCCCAACGGTTGGTGCCCGCCACCTTCGCCGCGCTATGTCCAGTGGCTGCCTGCAGCTCTTTGCCTTGGGGACGAAAGCAACCCTAAAATTGGGGTCATATACCCTGATTACTATAATTCCCTATTACAGTAAGGTAGTATGAACATAAACCCTTTCAGGGTTCATTTAGTCCCCAAAGTGATGTCATTCAGCTGCCAGGCATCTGATCACAGCATCAGTGCCATGATAAGCTAGTCAGGTCACTACTGTATAGGCTGCATGAGCCATGTGGTCCCCGATCGTATTGCGCGTGAAAGGGGGTCCCTGTTTTTGGAGAGCAGATGGCTGTGGGCTTTTGAGCTTATGCAGAGATGTGAAATGTTCAGCGCTGGTGTAGCCTCTCCTCTCGACGCCGCTGCCAGCTCCACACTCCTGCTGAGTGCAGTTGAGCGACTCATAATTGCACCAAGGGCGCGCGGGTCTCCATCGATCGAGACCGCAGCTCTTCAGTCTTACGTGGCTGCTATCGAGATTGGGCGCTGCCTATGCCTATGGCAGAGACTCGAAAACAAGCATAGGTCTGAGTTGGTTGTGTGTGTGTGTGCATGTGCTGGTCCTGTGGTTGGCTTGACTTGTTGCGACTTAGAAGCACGCAGCACATGTGCAGCAGACCAGTTGTGGCAGGAGACACCGGGCGACTTCAACACGGAGTGCTGGGCCTCTTGGACGACAAGCCTCACGCCGCATGACATGGTGCATAAACTCGGGTGAGCAAGGAAATAAGGCTTATTTCTCATAGTTGAAACAGTTTGGGTGTGCAAGTGTTGCATACTGATTCTGTGAACCAGGCCCTGAGCCCGCCAAGCCACTACATGCACCCAGGTGCTCCTGACACGCTATCGTGCTTTGTTCGGCCCGCACGACGAGGACAGGATCCCCAGAAAGAGTCACAAATTCTACATAGGTACCCAACACCACACCAGCATGGGCTATTGGGCTTATGAGGCCTTAGAATCCCGTAACCAAGCCTAAAGAAGTGCCTTTTTTAAGGGGTTGTTGGGTATCATCGCCCATGTAGGCATTGCAGGCACAGCGAATGTGAATGTGGATCAAAATAATCCATCCCAAGCTTCTGATGATGAGCAATCCCACCCTAAACCCTAAACCCTAAACCCTAAACCCTAAACCCTAAACCCTAAACCCTAAACACATGTGAAGAAAAAATGTCCTGGGCCAAAACTACCTTTTGAATGACCGAGACTGCAAGCAATCAAAGCTACATCCCGGAACCACCCAACCTTTTACCGACAGTCATTTTTATTACGACATCCCCACCCTACAGATTTGGAATTTTGGGGATACTTGAGGTTGGGCACTCCAAGACTCCCAGAGGACACTCTGGGGTTTAGGGTCTGGGGTTTGGGGTTTGGGGTTTAGGGTTCAGGGTCGGGCACTTCACGGATTCCCTGAAAAAGAGATCTGGGGTTGGGCGTTCCACAAATCCTTGCGCACACTTTCCTAGGCAGTCCTCGTAGAAGCCTGAACAACCCAGCTCCATTTCTAGATGCTGGCCCTAGAAAACCATAAAACCATAAAACCCTAAACCCTAAACCCTAAACCCTAAACCCTAAACCCTATAATTAAGAATGTTGGTTCTTTGTTGTCGCCTCGCAAGTCCAAGCCTCGCTTGGCTAGCAGGGCGCCGGCTGGCACATGGCGCTGACGGAAGAGGCAGCTAACGGCTAACCTGGCTGGTTCTTATTAGGGAATGAGGGAGTGAGGTACCCTAGATAATCCCTTAAAGGGCATGTATATATATATATATATATATATAGGGTCCTAATTCCCTCAGTCCCTACTAAGAACTGGGGGGGGGGGGGGGGTGACGCCTCCATGCGCCTAGATGCACACAGCTTTTGTTATGATTATGATGACTCCTATTGTTATGATTACTAGTAACGGCTAACGTCTTTATGCCCAAAAGATGCGTACAGCTTTTTATCATTTTTATGGTTATGACCATTATGATTACTATTACAATTGTTAATTGTCCTATTACTATTGCTAGATGCACACAGCTTTTGTTGTGATTATGATGACTCCTATGATTATGATTACTAGTATTATTAACCTTTTGTTTCGGGTATCAACATGATTCTTGTCATTATGATTATTAAGTGAGTGAGTGAGTGAAATGGCCCACAGATGTTACTGCGGCCTACACCATCTTCCCCCCCCATATCGCAGAGCAGCTCCGAAACCGTCATCGCCGCTCTCCACGAAGGGTTCGAGATGGCGGGTACTAATGCAGCCAAGCATCCTTGACTAGAGGGACAGTGGCCCGAAAGGCTGGGTGTACTAACTACGACAATACTCCGATGGAGCAAAGGGGTCGTAGACGGCTAGTAGGGGGTGTATATTGTCTGCACAGAAGAATTGGGGCGTGCTGCGCGCACCTAGGGCCCTGTGAGGCCGAGATGAGTGGTGCAGGTTGGTGACGCTGAAGGGGGAGGACAAAATCGGGCGCTGCAAGCCTACGCTGAAGGTCTAAGAGCCCAGGTAGGCCAAGATGAGGGGGACTGTTTGCCTACACGAATGGACCTGCGGTTCTGGAGGCCGAGATGGACTAGGAGCCCTGAGGAGGCCAAGTGGACCGATGGACCTGCGGCCCTGGAAGGTCGGGATGGGGGGTGCTGAAAGCGGGTCGCCGAGGAGGGACACGAGAAAGGGGGTTTGGGCCAGAACAGGCTGATTTACACTCCATCCGGCCCAAGCCCGGGTTTTCGGCTCGAGAAAGGGGGTCTGGGCCAGATCTACTACATCTGGCCCAAAGCCAGGTTTTCGGCTCGAGAAAGGGGGTTTGCTTACGCGGAAGGACCTACAGCCCTGGGAAGCTGAGATGTGGAGCACCGGAAGGTTACACCCGGGCCCTGGGAGGACGGGATGGGGGCCTGAAAGGCCAAGTGGACCAGAATGCACGAGAACGGGTGTTGAGCCAGAAGGAGAGCCTGGTTTTTGCTTCAACTGGCCCAAACCCAGGTTTACGGCTCGAGAAAGGGGGTTTGGGCCAGAAGAGCTGATTTTAGTTGCAACTGGCCCAATGCGTTTTCGGCTCAAGAAAAGGGGTTTGCTTACGCGGCCTTGGGAGGCACAGAGGTGGGGCACAGGTTGGTTAGCTGAAGACTCCGGGTCCTTGGGAGGGGAAGGGTGCTGCGAGCTACTGCTAAGATGAGGGGCTATTTGCTTACACACCACGACGGGGGCTATTTGCTAACGCACCACGACGGGGGTTCTTGCTTACGCACCACGACGGGGGCGGAGAACAAACACGCCCACGACCAGCCCATCCCGGAAGGCGCAGGGGGTACCAAACGCTTAAAACCAGCACAAGTCCAGTATCTGAAGACGAGAGATGGGACCTGTGGTTTTTTAAGCCACTTACCTGTCAGCCCACAAAGGTGATGTGGCAGAGCTTAAACTGCACGTGACAGCCCTCAGTCCCAGACCCAAGAGTTCGAGGTGAGAATGGGGGCCTGGGCCTGACATGTAGGGCCTGGATCCCCCACACCCATGACCCCTTTAGATGTCTGGCCCCCCAAGTGCTCACCGATTTTTACGCGGGACGCAGCAACTCCAAGGAGTCTACGTTCACTACGGCCAGGCCTTCATTTTGAAGGGCCCGGACAGCACGAGAGAGGACAACGGGCGGCCAGTCTTCAGCTACCCCTTGCGCGAGCTGCCGCAGCTCTTGCAGTAGCAGAGAGAGCGGGGCGTGACCCTCAGAAGACAGGCGTCGCAGCAGCCAGCGTCGGACCCGCCTGGTAGGGAGAGGAGTAGAGTGCACTTGCCCGGACCCAGCGCCGGGGGTGCACGCAGCCGCCATCCCACGAAGGTGAAGGAGAAGCCGGTCTGAGACAGGCGCAGCATCAGCGCGGCGAGGTGCTGCGGCCAGGCTATGGGCCCAAGTTTGCCAGCAGTCAGGGCAAAAAGGGATGTTGGAGAGCGCGGAAGTGTCATACGCACGATGCGCACCGCAGTTCCAACGGCAGCGCCCACGAAAGTGGATGACCACGTTGCATGAAGCACAGGACGGGCCATTCGAGCCGCGGCACCAGGGGCAAGGTAGCGCAGGTCGGGTGTGCACTGGCAGGGAGACCCCACCACAGTGCCAGCAGGCCAAAGCCTGATCCTGATGCTCCACGGGAGGACATCTGCAAGTCAACGCCAGACCCGCCAAAGCTGCTGACCAGGAGGGACGTTGAGCACCCCAAGAGGCCTGCCCAGCGGTCAGAAAAGCACCGCCATTATCCAGGAGGAGCTGGGTCAGTGTCGCATCCCGCAGATGGCGGCAGGGGGCGGTCCGACGCAAGCGTTGGGTTGCGGCATGCTGTGGGAGGAGAGCCCATCGCAGTTCTTGGATGAATGCCGTGCCAGTCGCAGACCCAAGCCAGGAGGAAAGGGAGCCTGCTGCAGCAGGAGCTGGGTTGTCTTCCACTCCGTCAGGCAAGGCTTGGGGGGGAGGCCGCGGCAAGGTGGCTTCCGCCAAACGAAGCCACACAGAGACCCTAGCATGGTACGCGCTGCGGATGAACCGGAGACCTACAACAAGGCGCTGACAGCACTGAGCGGCAGGCAGGAAGGGGCGTTGCCGGCGGGCGAGGGCCTGAATTTCAGATTGCAAAGCGCGAGAGTTGCGCAGAGAGGCGAACTGCTCCAGTTCCAGGTCCTCCAAAGAAGCTGGCGAGAGATGGCAGATTGCAACCCCCAGTGCTTTGGGGAGCACTCCACGGTAAGCCAGGTCAGTACCACACTCCTTGTTTGCAGATGCCGCACTGCTGCCAGCGACATCCTGTGAGAGCAAGGCCTCCCTTGCTGGAATGGGTACCAGCCAACGCCAGGCAGCAAGAATGGGCCACCTTTCCACAACGCTTGGTGGAGGAGAAGGGGGATGTTCACCGCCCCTCCGTTGAACAGAAGTTTGCCAGCGACGGGCAGCTTCGAGCAGATGAGAGGAGCCAGCAATGGCGGCCAAATCTCTCTCCATGTCGTCCCGCAGGAGGTTCACAAGCGGGGCCAGGGCTGTACAGCCCATAACTACGTGCCGCGGGGTACCTGGAGCCTGCCGGCACAAGGGGCAGGTACGGTGGGATGGATCATCCACACGGGCAGCCCATTGTGAGGCAACAGTGGCTTCAGTAGCATGCGCATGTAGGCGTTCTGTCCAGCTCCCCCCAATGGCCCGGTGGAGACGACACGCCATCGCAGACAGGTCTAACGGGGAGGAGTCTGCTGGCAAGAGCCATCGTGACCACGCAGTAGTGAAGTTGCACTGTGTGTAGATTGAGACATCCAGGGTGGGGGTGAACACCTGGTCTAACAAGCGTGGCAGAAGCCCTTGGACAGGCCGACTACGCCAGGCTTCGATACTTTGTGCACGTAGGATGTGCCGAATGCATGGGCGAATTGGGCCCGTGACCATGCGCCCATCCAAAGCTGCCCAGGCAAATGGACCGCTGCTGGGGTACCGTACGTCTGGTGGAGAAGGGTTGGCGGACGCAACACGGCAGCCTGCGTCTTGGGCTTCATTGCCTTGTGTGAAGACTGGGAAGGGCAGGGTCGTGTACTGCTGGTGACTGCGGATGTCCAGCCCCACCACCCCATCTTCTACGAAGGCAATCCGTGAGAAGGTCCGCATTTTGTCATTGAGGGGCATACGGACGTTCCAGTGCTGGGGAAAGGCGAGCTGGTGAAGCCTCCAGGAAGGAGGAGTGGCTTGCGCGGCCCAGGCATGGCGGAGGTCGTCCAAGCCGTACTTCAGCAGCGACACCAAGTGAAGCGAAGGGGCAGAAAGGAGCTTTGACAAGGAACCTGCAGAAGCTGTGCGCAGAGAATCGAAGAGGGCGCTTCTGTCAAAAACCAGGAGATGCCAGTTGTCGGCCCGGCGAAAGCGGAGGGAGACTGCTAAAGAGAGCAACTCTGCAGTGTGAATGGTCGAGGACTCCCAACCATAGCGCGTAGGAAGCTTACCCTGGATCTGCCGAGAAACCCATGCTGAGCACTCCCAATACTGACCAACACTCCCAAAGCCCCTGGCTTGACAGGCAAACGTGGCACCATCTTTGGAAAACCCCCCGTCTCCATAGATGGCACTATCAGACGTATCCGACGCATGGGGTAGTGGGGTGAGGAGGGCTCTGGCACGGGGATTGCAGGCCAAGTCCCAGGGGTCTTCCCAGGCCAACTGGGGCCAGTTTTCCGAGATGTCTGGCACCACCTCCAAACCGAAAAGGGAGCACTCAGTACGCCAGTCCAGATTCGACTGGGCGAGGGCTGCAGCGGCCGCAGAAGCGCAAGAGGCTGCAGTGACAGGGGAGTGAGCTGGGAGAAACTCTGCCCACACCTCAGCATCATGCCATGAATCCATAGGGATTCGCCGCTCTACCAAGGAGACCCAAGCCAGGCGAACCGAGTTAGCTAGCACGCCCACCCTGCAGTAGCGAGCAGCTGCGTCAAAGACGTCTGGCTTAAAGCGGCCAACCAAGGGATGTGGGGGAGGGGGGCGGAGATTGTCAAGCATCCTGGCCACGAAGCGATCAGTGGAGAGGCTGATGTAAATGCCGTAGCCGGCCAGGAGGTTGAGTGCGGAAAGAAGCAAGCCCGCGAAGTTCGGGAGTGTGTGGGGCGAGCTGCGCAAGGCCTGCCGCAGGGTGTCTCTGCTCACCAGTGAAGCTGACGACTTGCCATTTAGTAGGAGAAGGAGATCAGCGGCAGTGGAAGCGACCAGCATCTCCGAGAGAAGGGGCACCCCTAGCCCGCCACTGCTCCGCGAGGCTGACAGACTCATGCGCTCAGCAGTTACTCGGGTACCCAGACTTGAGAGGAGCAAGCGATGCAGAGCTGCATCTTCCTGATGGAGGGTTGCAGGTGAAGGGAGGCCTACTAGGGGAGCATAGCCTAGAGATCCCCCGAGAATCCATTGGATCATGGCTCGCCCCTCATCCCATGAGCAGCACTTGCAGGCGAGACGGTGACGAACGGCTTCTAGCTTGGTTACGAGGTCTTGAGCTGCCAAAGTATGGCGGTCAGCCACCGTCCCCCGCTTGCCCAAAAGAGTGTCAACGTGGTCCACTTGTGAACGGGGGAGGGTGTAGTGTTGGAGCCCCCCGGCCCAGATGTCCCAACTGGTGACAGTGGCCCCATTTTGGTGGATGCGCGGGTCTTGGATGGCAGGCAGGGCTGAGTCCCAGTCAGACGCAAAAGCCGAGAACTTCGACCAGGCAAAGCCAACACCCGAAGCTTCGCTGCCCAGGGCGAAGCTGCCCAAGATGGGAGGAAGATCGGACAACCCATTGCCATAGTGTTCTATGTCATCCACATACCCCGCAGCCACGACGCTGCGCCCGTGGTGTAGGAAGCCCCATCATTGGAGCGTAAGCGGAGAAGGGGGTCCTGACCTGCGCGAGACAGCTCTGGAGAGGACACAGCTCCTTGTGGAATGCCGCGGGTCAAGGGCACTGGATCGGTGGGACCTGAACGGGTATCCAGGGCCACCTGCAAGGTGCGGAAGAGGCCCTGGTGCAGGCGGCGTACTGAATCCGGAAAGCCTCGACCCTGTTGCACGGCATCGATTTGAGTGAGCTGCAGCGTGTTAAAGAATTTCTCGTAATCGGCCGGGACCCGAAGGAAGGGACGGCAGAATCGCCTAGCATCTTCACAGAGGAGTGCATCAAGGTAAAGTACCTCGGCTGCAGCAGACACGCCCTTGGAGTAGGCTCTGTTAAGCTCGGAGAAGGGCTCTGTAGGGCACCAGCCATGACGAGATAGCGCCAGGCGTTCGGCGACTGGAGCCTCTATGGCTTTGAGGTTTTCCTCCAACATGGATAGAGGACGCCAGCCGCCAGATGGTTTAGCCAAGTGAACTTGGTCTGCATGTTGCAAGGTGCGCGACACTACGCCGGTGAGGCGTTGAAGGTCGAGGGAGCGCCAGAAAGCGTCGCGGAACGGTTCCGGAAAAGCCTCAATGAAGCAGACCTTCCAGCCGCTGGGGCCCGGCCGAGAGTGACGGAAGCGGGAAAGCAGGGAGCTCTTTTCGAGCTGGGACGTGCGTTCCACAAAGCTGTAGTCAACAGGGTCCGGGCAACGGAGAACTAAAACGCTGGGGGAGGGTGCCCAACGAAAGTGCTCCAACGAGAGGCTGTTTGCAGGATGGCGCCCGAGGGAAAGAACCTTAAGGGGTGACCCTGAGCAGGGGAGCGGCCTGGTGGCCCACCAATCCTGATGCTCAAGCCTTAGGAGCCATGCACCTGTGTCTGTGCTAACGCGCAAGCATTGTGGTTGCACATAGCTCACATTGGCCCCTGAGAAGGAGATGAGCCGCCATGGCCCAGGTGACAGCATTGCAAGACCTACGCGGGAAAGGTCGCTGTTTGGATGTGAGGCACCTACCTGCAGGAAATCGATGGCACCACGGCGCGCACCGTTGCCGTCAGTGAAAGACAGTGTGGAGGCATGCTGCCATGGTTGGGGAGGTTGCTGCAGCAGCCTGGACCACTCTTGCGTGGCTCCCTGAAGCACGTCGCCTGTGCTACAGGGGCGGCGGCGGGAGCCGTCAGCATCCGCGACCCACTCTGGAGAGTAGCGGGCCTGTGGCAAGGAGGCAGGGCGCATACGGGAGGCCCAGCCCTTGGCGTCGCCTCGACGCAACAAGGATATGCGTAGCTGACGAGAAGAGCGAACTGAGCTCTGAGCGACAGCAGATTGACGCTTGGCTGCCTCTGCGATGCTGTCATCTAGCAATTGAAGGCATTGTGCCGGAGAGGGCGAAGGGGGTAAGGAGGTCCAGGTGGGGGCTGGAGGCCAACGCAAAGAAACATTGCCAGCAAGCCTCGGCTGTTCGTCATCGAGTGCTGATGCCAGAGGGGCTACGGACGAGTCAAAACCGAGGCTGGAAGCCCACTCTACTCGATTCCGGAGAAAAAGATCCCAGGCAGGGAGGCCCGGTCGGTCAACAGCGCCATCCTGCCTGGCATGATTTTCCATGTCCACTGCTTTGGACCACAGCGTGGCAGCGGTGGAAAGTGGGAAGCGTGCGAGGTTGAGGCTATGTCTTGAAGACGGGAGCGCGTCTCGCACCGCTGTTCGAACGCGCCTGAGTTCAAGAAGGCACGCGTGCCAAGCTTCTGCTTGACGGCCTAGTTGCCGCTCTGGCACAGGGTGCGTAGGGTGCACTGGGGGAAGGACGGCCATAAGAACCGACATCACGCCGTCCACAGTGGACTGCACGCGCTGAGTGAAAGATTCCGGAGGAGTCAGGGAGGGCAAACCGTGGAAGCCGTCCAGGCCTTCGCAGGGCGGTTGAGGCAAGGCTCGCCACTCTTCTTCCAGGGAGGACAACGCTGACGCAAGTTGCGACAACCGTGCAGTGTGCTGAGCGGCCCGAGAGGAAATGACCGATGGCAGGTCAGTGTCCAGTCGACTCACCAGGTTTCGCCAAGGCCTTGCGGGAGGGGAAGTGTCTGGCACCGTGGGCAGCTGCAGCGCAAGATCAGCAAGCACGGGGTCGTGGTCGACCCGGCGGTCCCACTTCCATAGAATCGAGGCGTTGAGAAGATGAACTTCCAAGGATGGGCATGGCAACCACCATATGGAGTCAAGCCGGCTTGCTGAACCCGCCCGGGAGAAAAAGGTGAACGCTTTAAGTCGAGGGTGCCTGACGCGGAACATGTCCAGGAAGCCACGTGCCTGAAGGAAAGGTGCCAAGGAGGCTGGACGGACGGAGTATGTGCCCTCCCAACAATCAAGCTCTTGGGACACGAAGGAGTTGAGGTCACCCCCGACGATGAGTAGCTGTTGATGTTCAGCGGCCTTCCTATTTGGGTGTCCAGAAACTCTTTGAGGGCTTGTTCATCGTGAAGAGAGGAGGCGTGGCGGACACCAAAGTCCGGCAAGCAGGCACCGACTGGGCCGTAGATCGCAGCGACTCTCAGGCTGAGGCCGTTTTGAGTATGCAAAACTGCAGCTACAGCTCTCCCAGACGCGTGCCTGGAAACATCGCTCCAACCACCCGAGTAGCCTGCCCGAACTGCAAGGAGGACGCCTGAGCCGGCCCCAGATGAGGAGGAGGAGGAGGTGGAACCAGAGCTGGGACACTGAGGGGAGCGGCCGTGGCTGACTGCCCGGTAGCCAGCGGCAAGCAGGCCTTTGCACGCTAGCGCGTGTTGCGCATCGCTCTGCAGCGCCGTCTCCGTGAGAAAGGCGACGTCCGCCCCCAGTGTGGCCAAGCTCTGCCCCTGCCAAATACCCCATTGGTGTCGATTCCGACCTGTGCTGCCGCACTGGACGGTTGCCAGGCGGAGCACTTGCGAGCCTCTCCAGGACATGTCGTCTCCCAAACATTGTCCCGAAAAAGAGGGTGGAGACTGTTGTTCCCCTACTGCGACAAGTAGACGATCGTCGGCCGCTTCAACAGCCGCGCGAGGTGTAGAAGGAGCCGAAGACGAGGAGTCGCCACCATCTTCAAGAAGGTCCATGCCCGAGGATGAGACTGAGCTAAAGGGGGACAACTACAGAATGGCTAGAGAGCCGAGGCCGGTTGGGAGAAGCTGGCGATGACGTGTAGAAGGACATGACGAGCAAAATCTACAGCATGAAAGCATGCCGGGCGGGCGCATGACTGAAGGCGAGCAGGTGACCATAAGCGCCTACTTACTGCTTGCTCGTGGACAGATTGGGAACAATGAGGGCAGTACCGCACTGCGGAGGTGAGGCTACTGCACCAAGAAAGTTTGTTGGACCTTTCGCGGTGTGAGCCGTCCACGCAGAGCAGAGTGGTGAAGAAATACGAGAAAGGCAGCGCAGTTGAAGAATCGGACAAAAGCTGTACAACTGCGACCGTGGATTTCACAGAAGGCTACCTAGACCCGATCAGCCCTTAAAGTACTGGAGCGTTGCACTCCGGGCAACGACCTCGAGCGTGCGGGGCGTTGAGCCAACGTTCAAGGCAGTCTGAATGTACTACGTGGAGGCATTCCAGTCGTACGAGCTTGTCAGTGGCCAGGATGTCGTCTCGACAACACACACATGTCCAGCCCTCTTCCGAAGCACCCGCTGTGAATTGGACCAGGCGAAGCCCCAAGAAGACCGAGGGACCAGATTCATCAGGCGGGTCGAGCTCCGCAGCTGGGAACGAAGAGGCTGGGTTGGTTGAGGAGTCGACTTCGGGCGCTGGCAGCGCCGGTGTCACTGACCTCCTGGCCAGTGAGATTTTGAGGGTACCCACAGGAGACGCAAGCTTGGCTCGACCATGCTGGTCCTGGCTCGCCGCTGGCAGGAGTTCCTTCAGGATGCGGTCGGCCAGGCCCGGCGTGGCGAAGGCGACGTGCGACAAGAAGAAAGCCGGGGACTTGCGAGAACTCCGTCGGGTCTGCGCAAGCTGGAAGCTGGGCTCCAGAGCAGCCAGTGAGGGCGAGATTCCCGCCACATGGCTCAGAAGAGCCTCCAACTGACTGATGTTGGGCCGTCGGGGTAAGCCGATAATGTGTAGCCCTGCCGGCAGACGCAATGGAGGTGAGGTCGCAGGCTTCAAAGTTGTCGGTGAGGTGGGGGAAGCAGAGACGGTGGTAAGGTTGGCTCGCTTCTGCTTGGCCGTGCCCTTCCGAGTAACCGCTTGAGTAGCTGTTTGGGCAGACCGAAATACTGTGAGCGGAGCTGGCTGCGAAGGTGTGCCGGTGCTACTTCCTCGTCCTCCTAAAGGAGGGCGAGCTGCCATCTTTGGCCTCAGCCCCGACGACGAAGGTGTGGTCCCAGCATTCCGTGTGCGGGCTGGACTGCGGGAGCGAGCGCGGCCACAGCCTTCACGAGACTGCAAAGTACGAGATGCTTGCAGGGGTGGACGTACTCGGGGTGGAGGTCCACTGGCGCCGCGATGCTCCCCAAGTGCAAAGCTCCGTGTGGTGATGGCTGGCGGCGCTGCGCCGATTGCCCCAGTAGCGCATCTTGGAAGTGCAGCACGTGCCAGGCGAGGGCGAGCAGGGACTGCAGGAGGTTTAGGGGCATCGCGAGCTTGTGCCGAGGGGAGCCCACTGCGTGGTTTGGCCGAGATCCCTCGCGGCGGACCTTGGAGGCGCGCACTGGAGGGGGAAGCACGAGGAGTAATGCGGCCTGGAGCACTGCTTCCAGCTTTGCTGGAGCTGTTCACTGGGGCGCCCTGTGCCCAAGGCGAAGGTACACGTGCTGGCGGACGTGGAGGGCGAGGAAGTCCACGGAGCTGACCAGTTGACATAGTGGAGCGGGGGGCCTGGGAAACTGTGCGCGCATCCTCGATGCCGGGCGGTGGAAGGCCAGCTGCAGCCTCTGCGAGGCATGCCGGAGGTAGCACGGCGTCGATGCTGCGCTCTGCGAAGAGAAGCCCCATGCGCACAGCGCGACGCGCATCCTCTTGCCATGATGGGTCCATGGCGGGCGAGGCAGGCCTACAAGAGTTGAACACGTAAAGCCTTTGCTTGAGGAGGTCGGCGGACACATGGCGCATGCGGGCAAGTGTATCTACGGATGCCAGGATGACGCACCTAACATCTCAAAGAAGCCAATTTTGTGAGAGAAGGTAGACACAGCGATACGACACATGCTCTGCCGAGATTTGGGGCGCAGGTTGGTGACGCTGATGGGCTCGGGAGCCTGGGGGACGGGAAGGGGGGGGGGTGTTGTATGCTTACGCTGAAGGACCACGAGCCCTGACCAGGCCAAGTGGGCCTTACAACTGGCCCAGACCCATGTTTTCGGCTCGAGAAAGGGGGTTTGGGCCAGAAGAGGCTGATTTTAGCTACAGCTGGCCCAACCCCAGGTTTTCGGCTCGAGAAGGCCGATACGGGGCGCAGGTTGGTGACGCTGATGGGCTCGGGACCCTGGGGGACGGAAAGGGGTTGGTGCTGCACGCTTACGCAATGAGCCCTGACCCCGTGGGCCTTACAACTGGCCCAGACTCATGTTTTCGGCTCGAGAAAGGGGGTTTGGGCCAGAAGAGGCTGATTTTAGCTTCAGCTGGCCCAACCCCAGGTTTTCAGCTCGAGAAAGGGGGTTTGCTTACTACGCAGATGCCGAATTGCGGCGCAGGTTGGTGACGCTGATGGGCTCGGGACCCTGGGGACGGGAAGGGGGGTGCTGCACGCTTATTGCACAGAAGGACCACGAGCCCTGACCAGGCCAAGTGACCCTTACAACTGGCCCAGACTCATGTTTTCGGCTCGAGAAAGGGGGTTTGGGCCTGAAGAGGCTGATTTAAGCTACAGCTGGCCCAACCCAGGTTGTCGGCTCGAGAGAGGGGTTTTGCTTACAACGCAGGGACCAGCGGCGCAGAAGGCTGATTTGGCCGATTTGGGGCGCAGGTTAGTGACGCTGCTGGGCTCGGGACCCTAGGGGACGGAAAGGGGGGTGCTGTGCGCTTACGCAGAAGGGCCACGAGCCCTGACCAGGCCAAGTGGGCCGTACAACTGGCCCAGACTCATGTTTATCGGCTCGAGAAAGGGGGTTTGGGCCAGAAGAGGCTGATTTAAGCTACAGCTAGCTGGCCCAACCCCAGGTTTTCGGCGCGAGAAAGGGGGTTTGCGTACTACGCAGATGGACCAGGGGCCCAGAAGGCCGATTTGGGACGTGACCCTGGAGGACGGGAAGGGGGGCGCTTACGCTGAAGGACCACGAGCCCTGACCAGGCCAAGTGGGCCTAACAACTGGCCCAGACCCATGTTTACGGCTCGAGAAAGGGGGTTTGGGCCTGAAGAGGCTGATTTTAGCTACAGCAGGCCCAACCCCAGGTTTACGGCTCGAGAAAGGGGGTTTGCTTACTACGCAGATGGACCTGTGGCCGAGAAGGCCGATATGGGGCGCAGGTTGGTGACGCTGATGGGCTCGGGACCCTGGGGGGCGGGAAGGGGTTGGTGCTGCACGCTTACGCAATGAGCTCTGACCAGGCCAAGTGGGCCTTACAACTGGCCCAGACTCATGTTTTCGGCTCGAGAAAGGGGGTTTGGGCCAGAAGAGGCTGATTTTAGCTTCAGCTGGCCCAAGCCCAGGTTTACAGCTCGAGAAAGGGGGTTTGCTTACTACGCAGAAGCCGATATGGGGCGCAGGTTGGTGACGCTGATGGGCTCGGGACCCTGGGGACGGGAAGGGGGGTGCGGCACGCTTATTGCACAGAAGGACCACGAGCCCTGACCAGGCCAAGTGACCCTTACAACTGGCCCGGACTCATGTTTTCGGCTCGAGAAAGGGGGTTTGGGCCCGAAGAGGCTGATTTAAGCTACAGCTGGCCCAACCCCAGGTTGTCGGCTCGAGAGAGGGGTTTTGCTTACAACGCTGATTTGGCCGATTTGGGGCGCAGGTTGGTGACGCTGATGGGCTCGGGACCCTAGGGGACGGGAAGGGGGGTGCTGTACGCTTACGCAGAAGGACCACGAGCCCTGACCAGGCCAAGTGGGCCGTACAACTGGTCCAGACTCATGTTTATCGGCTCGAGCAAGAGGGTTTGGGCCAGAAGAGGCTGTTATAAGCTACAACCCCAGGTTTTCGGCGCAAGAAAGGGGGTTTGCGTACGACGCAGATGGACCAGCGGCCCAGGAGGCCGATTTGGGACGCAGGTTGGTGACGCTGATGGGCTCGTGACCCTGGAGGACGGGAAGGGGGGTGCTGCACACTTACGCTGAAGGACCACGAGCCGCGACCAGGCCAAGTGGGCCTAACAACTGGCTCAGACCCATGTTTACGGCTCGAGAAAGGGGGTTTGGGCCTGAAGAGGCTGATTTACGCTACAGCAGGCCCAACCCCAGGTTTACGGCTCGAGAGAAAGGGAGTAAGCTTACTACGTAGATGGACTTGCGGCCCAGAATGGTGACGCTGAGGACGGGCTGGGGGGGAGCAGTACGCTCACACTGAAGGACCAGGAGCCCTGAGAGGGCCAAGATATCGGGACGATTCGCTTGCGCACATGACGCGGCGAGGGGTGGGTGCAACCAAGCACAAGTGCGGAAGCAAGAATGGACCTGTGAGTGAAGGAAGCAAGAAGACGAATGAAGTTGGCACTGTCGCGCTGACGGGAGGACTTCGGGCGAGGGGGGGGTGCTCATCGGCGGAGGAGGCCGCCTTAGTGCCGCCCCCGGTGTCCCACCCACCTCGGCAAGACCCCGAAAGACCTCGCACAACCCATCAGAACCGGGGGATTATGATTATTACTAATTATTACTATTCACCTTATACTTACCTATAGAACCCAAGGCAGGCCTTCAGGAACGTTCTCCCACCCTGAACCCTACTCGCTTGCACCTTGCCGGGTCTTGGCTTTCATTGCAAAAGAGCTCTGGAGGCCAAGCCCCAGCAATCTGGACTCTGGTTCAGATGAACCACGGGCCAAAAAAAAAACTGTAGCTTCTTGCGCAAGAACCCTGCAAACCCCTTTGTCGCTCCTAAGCTTTAAACCCTAAACCCTTATCGCTTTAAGCCTTCAGGAAGGAGAGCTATGGGGTCGTCCCTTAGGGTTTAGGGTTTAGGGTTTAGGGTTTAGGCTTTGGGTTTGTTTCATTTTGGTGCAGGTTTGTGTTTGGATGGGCTTGTTGGGTGGCCGTCTTCCGCCATGACGTGTGAGACGTTGCTGCCAGCTTTGGTGCAGCTGGTTGCAGATGTCCTATCCACTACGCACGGGATTTTAGGAAGGTCGCCAAGTCACATTCCTTTCAACCTTCACTTGTGGCCCATTGGAAATGCAAAACCTGGAGCTTGCTTACGGGCTGTGCCACGAGCAGCAAACACAAGCCGGCTCCATGTGCAGGTGTTCCAATGCCTCCGAGAAGTGTTCGGGGTGCAACATGAGCTGTTTGCCTCGCCCCTGAACTGCACGCTCTCCTCATATTGCTCTCTTTTTCCAGATGCCTGGCTGAGACATTTTTTTTGCATGGGTGCCCTCATAATTGCCGGACGCCCGCTGTGTAACACGCAGTCCTAAGCAGCACCCTAGCAAGTTGTTTCGAGAAGTGAGGGGCTGTTCTACATCAGGGTTTGCTAGAGATATAGATATCGATGTGCTCTATATAGCCTATCTAGCTCACTCCCTAAGCAAACCTACTATGTTGCTAAATTTGTTTAGATCTTGTTTTCCAGCAGGCACCCTAATCACCGAAAATTCAAAAACCTTAAAACCCTAGAACCCTAAAACCCTAAACAAACCCAAGGATACAGATCGCGCCTTTGGATCCGCTGGGGGATTCTTCCGCTTCTGCGAAGAGGCGCTTTTGCAGGGCGGAAGCTTCGAGTGTCACGTGGCGCACAAATAAGGGTTTCGGGCGGCTTAGGGTTTAGGGTTTAGGGTTTAGGGTTTAGGGTTTAGGGTTTAGGGTGTAGGGTGTAGGGTGTAGGGTGTAGGGTGTAGGGTTTAGGGTTTAGGGTTTCGGATTCGGATGCTTTCAGATATGGGGGCATGTCTCCAATATAGGAATCCCATATGATGGGAACTCTCAAAAAGGCTAAACCCTCAAACCCTAAACCCCCCCCCGAACGACCCCCACGTGGAGGAGTTTGGGGCTTCAGAGGTTAGCTGTTTTGGGTCTCTCGGAGAGCCCTGGTTGATAAAATGTTTTGGACTTTGGATTGGGAGCATCGTGGTGCCAAAGGCTTCCCTAAAGCCCTAAAACACCAAGACCCCTAAACCCTAAACCCCTACAACCCCTAAAGTCCCTAAACCCTCTAAAAGCCCTTAGCTCACATTCAAAAACCCTCAACCCTTGCTAAACCCTCCCATAGACCAGGACGGGCTATTCTACCCGAAAACCCTAAACCCTAAACCCTAAACCCTAAACCCTAAACCCTAAACCCTGCAGCCCAGGCAACCCGCCCTTTGAGGAGGGGCTCATGTGCCGGGCCGTGGAAGCGCTGCTCCGGTCGCTGGGCACAGAGGGCCCGGCGCTCTCGGCCGCTTCGGAGAACTGGGGGGAGTTATGGGGTTTAGGGTTTGGGGTTTAGGGTTTAGGGTTTAGGGTCCCCTTCAGAGGGCTGTAAGGATCCTTCCATGGGACCTTATATATCCTCTGAAACCCAATAAGGGCCCATACTTCAGGAGGGACCACGAAGCTTCCCTTAGAAGAGCCCCAGAAGGAGTATATTCATTACTTTAAGTCAGAACCTATAAGGAGCCCTGTGACTTGCCCCAAGTCATGATAAAGGGTTTAGGGTTTAGGGTTTAGGGAGATCCACCCATGGGATTCCAGCTGCTGCCTCGTCGAGAGTGTTTGTCGTGGGACTGTGGGCATGGAGGGATCGCCATAACCCTTCAACAACGCCCTTCATAGGGTTGATTATGGGAATTATCGGGCCTGATTGCCCATCCTTGTAAGGGTTGGGGTTTAGGGTTTAGGGTTTAGGGTGTAGGGTTTAGGGTTTAGGGTTTAGGGGTTTCAACTGTGAGGTTGTACTCGT